GCTTTCCGTTATGCTGACGTGTCAAGATCAGGATGGCTTTCGTGATCGCCAAAATGGAAGTCAACACTGGAAGTTGGATCCAGCTGGATTTTTTAATATTAAATTATATAATAAAAAATATTTTTTTAACATATTATATTTATATGGTATATAATTTAAAATTAATATCTTTAATTTTTATTAAAAAATTTATTATAAAATTATTTAAAAATTTGATAGCTAAGTTGGATTCTTTTCTTTTATTTGCTTATTACACAACACCATATGTTGGAGTGGTCTTGATGTCCGCATTCCAAATTGTTAATCTTATATATATATTTTTATCTTAACTAATTATTTTATTCTTTACTGTAATTTATTTTAGATATAATTGATATTTTTATTTACACTAAAATTAGAAGTATAGTAATATAATAATAGTTAGTTAAATTAAAACCCATGGTATTAACCATTTAATATGGGGCAAAATTGGGGTTGGCCCTTGGCTGTTTCTAAACTCACCTTTCCAACTAGAACTCTTTGAGCATTGGAGTCAATATCCACCGAAAAACGAAACTTATCTTTCCAGCTACAACTGTTTGACCATTGGAGTCAATATCCACCAAAAATTATAAGAAAAAAATACAAAAAAAAAAAGAAGCCAAAAGAGAACAAACTATACATACACCCGTTTATTTAAAAATGGTTTACTAATAGTAAATGATTTTGGAACAATTTTTATATATCATTTTTTTATAATTTTATATGTAATTTAAATAATTGATTTTTTTTTATTCATGTAAAACTCATGATATTAAATACATCTACTCATTTAATGACAGTGAAAATTGTATCAAAAGGTTATCCTTATAACACCACCTTTTACTAATACTAATAAAAATTGTTTTTAAGTTTGTGCCTTAAGAGTACTTTTTTAAATATAATAAATGTAAATAAAAAAAATAAAAATTAATATAAATTTTAGTGTTAATATTAAATAAATAAATTTAATTCCATAATTAATATATTAAATATCAATTTTGTATGTACTTAAGAGTATTGGATTGAAAAAACTCTATGAATAAGAAGATGTAGTTTATATTAACAGTTTTTTCATTTGTGAGGAGAAGTAAATTATTATTTATTTACTTATTTGATATTAGGTGATTCTTTTTAACAAACATTATCAATTATTCATTGTACAGGGTACGATATATATATTTGAGCCCATCCCATAAGGAAAAATAACACATTCATCATCCTGATTGCTTTCCAGTCTTTTCATTAGAATGATAATGAAATTTTGCTTCGTATTTTTTTGTAGAAAGAAAAAGAAAAAACAGCCAAAATAATATGAAATCTACACGCCTCCTTTGGTGGGAGGGACTAAGATGGAATGTGGAATGTCAACTCCAATCTACAGTCCCATTTTCATATTTGGTACAGCAAGTTTATAGAGTTAATGAAATTGTTACAAGAGAATCCATATATAGGGAATGCTAATTCCATTCTTACCTCAAGTTGTTTCCACTAGAGTCAGGAACTTTAATCGGGTCCAACTGATTGGGTGAATCATCAAGTGGATGAGAAACAGTCTGTTATGGACACAATACTCTCTCCAACCGCTCGCAGGAGGCCCTTTGGCCTTTACTAATACTAAGCAGCAGACGCATTCATTTGCTGTATTTAAACTGATAATCCAAACACCACTGATTCATTCAATGCTCTAAAATTAGTGGTTGTTTTTAAATTCTTTTCTCGTTATATATTCGGGCAAAAGAAGAGAAGCAAAGTATGATTGTCAATGCTTTATAAATTTAATCATTATTAAGAATTTGAATTTAAGTATGAAAATAATACTTATTTATCTTATTTTTGAAAAGTTATAAAAAAATATTATTTTAAAATTACGTTAATTTTAATAAATATTTATTAAAAAAATTAAAATATTATAATTTTAAAATATAAATTAAAATATTTTTTTTCTCTTAATTTTTCTGAAAATAAGACGAAGAACCACACACATCTTTAAATATTTATAAATACGTGGATATGGTTTCCACTACTTCGAAGTTGCAAGTTATTAACACAAACACGGCACTTCCTTCTGCAATGATTTTAACGTTATTCTTCCATAACTACCTCTCTTTTATTTCATTTATTTATTGTGTTTGTTATCCAATTGCAAGCTTCAAGGTCAAAGATGTGGCAAATGGATTATGAACAATGAATTTCATTGCTTTTTCTGCAACCCAAAGGTGCAGAACAGAGAATACTTCTCGTTTCCGTTTAATCGAAACAGGGGTCATTGGATTTTTTCTCTAATGGACCTGGCTTTAAAGGGTTTGGATTTTTCTTGGAAAAAGAAGAAGAGGGTTCTATCTTTGGCAGCTTTTTGTTTTGCTGGTTATGGCTTCTACAGAGTCTATCAATCACAGGTGGCATTTCAAAAGAGAAACAGAGTATTAAAGATTTTAGGATCTTTCACTTCAGTTCCGGAGGCAGTTTCCGATATTGCTGAAACAATTGGAATCGTTTCCAGAGATTTGAAAGATTTTCTGAATTCAGAGTCTGACAACATTCCCAATAGTTTGAAGCAAATTTCGAAAATCATGAGGTCCGATGATGCCTTACAGTCCATAATCAAGCTTACAGAAACTGTAACTGTTGGAACTTTACGTGGGGTAAACCCCAATTCAAGTTCAGTTGATCAGATTATGGATAAGCTTTTCACAAAAGCTGGGTCTGGTTTCGCTTCTGTGGTCGTCGGAAGCTTTGCTAGGAACCTGGTGATGGCTTTTTTCTCAGAGATGCAATCCGGACAAGGATTGAATTCAAATTCAACCGTTTCAAATGACTCTGTTTCAAGATGGGTGAATGTGGTTTCCGGCGATGATTGCAGAAAGCTGATCGGAGATAGTGTTCAATTGTTTGTGAGCACTGCCGTTGCTATGTATCTTGAAAAGACAATGCATGTTAACACCTACAACGAATTCTTCTCAGGATTGACTAACCCCAATCATGGAACAAGAGTGAGGGAAATGTTGGTTACCATCTGTAATGACGCAGTGGAGACTCTGGTTAAGACATCACATCAAGTTTTAACGGAATCCGGGTCCAGTGAGAATTCAGGTTCATCATTTTCTCCATGCTTGGCAATCGATCAAGGGCAAGAAGCATTATCATCAGGAGTTTTGGTGGATAAACTGTCAGTAACGTTGGCCAACCCTGGAAATAGGAAGTTTGTTCTTGATCTGACTGGGAGGATTACTTTCGAAACAGTTAGATCATTCCTTGAGATTTTGCTGGAGAAACTGTATGATGGAATGAAAAAATGTGTTACTGTCGCCCATGAAGCTGTTGTTGAAAGTGGTCTTGAAATTATGAGATATGTTACGGTGAAGTCCTCCATTGCTGCTTCTAAATGTCTCTACTTGTGCCTGAATGTACTTGACGGGCTTTGGATCTTTGTACCGGCTTGATTGTCATAATAATCCTAATGACATTGTATTGCAGTTTGTGTGATCACTGTTGAGAATGTGAACTAGATGATGATAAGAAATTGCATCCAAAAATTATCCATAATATATTGAGTATGGAGACTTCCTTGTTTTATCTTCCGTCTTATTGTGTTCTTGGATAAGACTAGCTCGTCCTTCTTCAGAAGAAAACAAAAGAATCAGGAACAACCCATAAAAAGTATCTAAAAAACGCCAGAGTGGCTTGCTCAAGAAGAAAAAAGAGAGGGAAACTGACAGAGTGGCTTATCAAAGAAGAAAAAGAGAGGCAAACTGACAAAAAAAAAAAAGGGTATTTCAATTGCCACAAAACTGCATAATTATCCAACTGATAAAGTTAACAACATTCATGATGGTATTTAATTGATGTTTCCTTCCGCAAATGAAGTTGCTTATTCTGTTATTCCATGCATAAGCCATACAATAGGCAGAATGCATCAAGGAAATAACTGCCTTCATCTAACTGCTTTTTGTCCATTCCATAATGTGAAATGTGAAGGGCAGCAAGCCTTCAGACACAGTTTAAGCAGCCTCAAAAGGCAAGTGGGATGATAGACTCCTTCACGCCACCATTTACAAACAACCATAGAAGATGCAATTCAATAAGCCATCTGTTAACTTGATTTTGCATCTGTCTCTTTTGCGGATGCCTCTTCCTGAAGCTTCTTTTTCCAGTAATCATCAAGTGGGGGTCCAAAAATTGCCTTCCCAGAAACAACTCCAATACTGCAAAACCATGGTCATTCACTCAGCATTTACTACATATAGTCAATACTCAAAGCTAAAACTAAGTTTTGCCAGAACTTAGCATTTTGAGGCCTGAGCTCTAGCAATATTGTTTAAAAAGATAAGGAAAGCATGGCATTTTTTTTTTTTTTTTTCTGACTAACAAGGAAAACATGGCTAGATCTACATTAATCCTGCATATTAACTTGCAGAAAATACAGAGCCTATATGTATCTTCCTTTTAATATTAGTTACCCATAAGAGTGCTAATTCAGTTTTTCCAAGTGTGTCTTATTAGACTTATTTATCCAGTTATATATCCAGATGACAATTTATGCTGCACTTCTGTCCTTGATCTCACCTGACCAATCATGAATCAGGTTATCCAACATAATATGTTAAACAAAGAATGAAAGCGACAATATTCCTAGTCAAAATTTTGAGTAAGTATAATTCTATAAATGATATCACTTTTATGCACACTACTGATGAGTCAAGAACAAATGCACAAGCAGATGAGAGAAGCATAAAGATAAAGTTAAATAAAACCAAATAAAAAACACAAAACGAATGAAGAATACAACTTAAATAGTAATTTTATGTTCATTCTCTAGGATTTGTTCAATGCATCTTCAGTTTTAACATAGAGTTCACAACTTTATGAGGAATTAACATAATCCAATTACATGGTCTTTTCTTTTTAAAATTGCAGCCTTCTTTCCCTCTTCATTTGTTTTCCATCATACCTTCACTTACATATTCTTCTTCAACAGATAGCTTCTAGATCTCTCAATCCCTACGCAGTTTGAACCCAACAAGCTTCCTCACCCCCACTGACCCTACCCAATTTCTCTGATACAATGCAGTGATGAACAGAGGAAAACAAGGCTACACGATACAAACACACAAGAGTATGACCATATTTATCTGAATTTGTTAAACAGAAACAAGAATGACAAAAAAAGAAATGTGCCCCCCAGATTATGCCACAGCCTACAATTCAAAGTTGTGAACTTTTAAACCTCCAATGCTGGTAATACATAACCTTCTGGTATTATAAATGGTGTTTCTTTAGACCCGATACAGGAGTCATGCCATAAAACATCACCTACTCAACTGAAAATTCTTCCTTTCAACATTTGTAACGATCATTAAACATCTCTTCCCACGCAAATGCATTTTCCCAACCTCAAATTAAACTAAACTGGATTAATCAGCAACTCTAAATACTAAAACCCTTTCCGTAATGGGTACTCAAAAATTCAATCCACAATTCCACCAGCAATGTCATCAGTAGTGGGTGTACAAGATTTTTCGTAACGAATTCAGAAACAAATCGAACTCGAACCTAACCATCCATAACCAAACAGAACAGAGTAATGTAAATGATTCAATAATATGGAAAAAGATATGTCGAACTCACATGACAGCTCCAATCACCAAGGGGAACGACAGGAACCTCCTTCTTCCAAACATCCTTTCCAATTCGCTTTGCTCTGGATTGTTACGAAAAAGCTTCTTGCTTCCTCAGATTTCCATACCCAAGTTTCAATAAATTCAATCTCTCTTTTCCAAGGGTTTATGAGTTTTTGACTCTCCGAGTTAAAGCTTTGGATCAATTCCGTTTTGGGCCAGCCTTCATACAATAGTAGTCCTCAAAGCCCATATTGAATGGACAGGGCCAACGACCAAGGCCTACGCATATGGATGTACACATGTACACCTTACCTGCCCTGTGTATCTCCTCTAATTAATATAAATCCAGATTTCCATTGAAGAAAAAACAAAAAAAGGAGAGAAAATACCTAACTCAACTTTGAAAAATCAGCTTTGCCCACATAAATTAATCTATTACTAATTAGTGGAGCTTGTCAAGAATAATTATAACAGCATGTGGAATTTCAGGCATGGGGGCTGCATACCGCTGGACAACTTGCATCTTATTGTTATCATATAAGACCGAGGTCCATCAAAAGAATTTACATGTGACTAGATTCTGGAATGTGAAGTACACAAAGTCGTCATAAGGCCCCTAAAATATAAAAAAGCATAGTCATATCCACATTATAATATAACTAACAATTCTAAAGGTGAATTTATTGACAAATTGGTATTTAAATATCTCACTTTTTAAATAAAGATAGTATAATTTAATTGTTTATGTTTTATACTAGTAAAATATTAAAAAATAATATTTAACTCCTATAAACAACGGTAAAAATGAAAAGATAAATCATAATTATTATTGTAATAAATCAATTTCTTAATAATTGTGAAAGGATTAAGTAAAACAAGTAATCAAAGATGATGGAGTATTATATTGTCAATCAATTGCAAGAATTTAAGTCATGTAATTAACATTTAAAGAAGTTAAATTTTTAAATGAATTAGACGGTAAGGGAACCATGCCTTTAAGAATTAAGATAGTAGATATGAGTTTTGAGATTAGTTTTAAAATGTATGCAAACTTATTGAAACCAGTACCTATATCATATATTATTATACTTAGTTATACCGATGACTTATTGGTCCGAGTGAAAATAGTTCAGTTCCCTTTAAACAAGATTTTGAATTCAAGTCTTTTGAATGGAAAAACATTTACTGGCTTTCTCAATATGAAGTCCGACCCGACTTGACTTTAAATTAATTAAGATCAATGTGATTTCTGAATATCGGAAGTTAGTACAAAAAAATATTATTATACTTAATTATCAATCACAGAAAATATCGAACTCCACTAAGTGGTCCAATGGCCGCACGCGGCTCATTGATGTCGGTGGACTGTTCACCAGATTTGAGGATCGAATCCCCAGTTGTTAACATTTGATAATACTAATCTACTAACTATTGCCCTTATAAAAAAAAAAAAATCACAGAAAATATCGTTGCTATGTAATAAAGTAATATTTTCCAGTATTAACAATCAAATCATACTTTCATTGAATCAAGAAATAATAATGAAGTAGTTTAATTTAGGCAAAAGGCACAAAAATTACATATTTTACTCGTGCCACCAGCTGATAATGTTAAATCAACCCAGCAGCACTAAAGTATTAAAATGTTGGTGGAAGGTCAAAATCTAGGGGTACATAATAATTAGCCTATGGTCTTGGTATGGGAAATATAGCATTCGGCCTTCCACTCATATGGAATAACTGAGATCTGTTGCCCAAAGAGAACGAAATTAAGGAAATTCTTGAGTTAAATTTTTATTTTCTACTTACATACATTCCTTTGATGGTGATTTAATGATTGTCTTAGAATTTGGACCCGAAATTCGTAACCAATAGACCTGAAAAAGAGTTTTATAGCTCAGGGTTCTATTGGATATACCATTCTCTTAGGTAAGGCACATGGAACATGAGCATAGATTCAAACTTGAAATTGCTTTCGGCAGACTTTTTCTAGGATATTGGCTTATCCAGTTGTGTTTGCATCTCGCATGGGTCTCCCAAAAAACAGTGTTGTACAAAGCAGGAAAAAGGATCTCCATAATATATATTTTGAGAGAAAAATAGAAGTTAAGATATCTTGATTTTTATTAAAAATATTTTTTACGTGTTAGTTCATTAAGGATATATAAGTTTTTTTTACCATTATTCTTATCATTTTAATTGTTAACATATTTTAATTTCTTACAGCCATTTATTTTATGTGAAACAAAAGTTAACGGAAAAACATTTTGAAGAGGGCTTTTTTAAACCTACCATAAAAAAGTTATTTTTTTATTATATATTTCATTATAAATTTATAAGATTCACTCAAAAAATTTATGACATAATTTTAATATAAACTCAAATCTGGTTGGAGTAAATCTTTATTATTATTATTTTAGATTGTATAATAAAAAATAATATTATTTTTTAAATTTATTTTATTTACATATCTCATATGATTCGAATTTAAAAATTTTTAATTTCCCTCAACACTTTTGAACATTTAGGTGGTTGGCAAAATCTTGCTAATTAAATCACCTGGTATATATATTAGCAAGAAACAAGCAAAACGCAAAAAGATAATTAACAGCAAAACGCAAAAACCGTGTAGCATGCTGTTATGTTGTCGTAATTAACAGAGATAGAGCATTACACATGTATAAATTCATAGATGAACTTATATTATTCATGGTTGCTTGTGCTTCTGGGTATACACATAATCAAGATGAATAGCCAGATTCCTCCTCATCAAGCAGTCTTCCTCTCCAACTCCTTCACAGCTCTCTTTCACCACCACCTCATCCTATCAAAACCAAAACCCCACGATATATAAACAAAAACATAATCATCAAAACACTAAAGAAGAACAGTCATAGATAAAACAAGTCCAACATATATATAAGTTAACTAACCTCAAGCTGGGTTTTTTCCGGTGTATGATTGGCAAAGGCCGGTTCCGGACGAGCAGCATAGGTGAAGGTGGTGCAGAGTAGGAGTAGGAGGACCATTACCAAAAGCTGGGTGACAAGCCTGGCCATCTTCAATTAGTTTACAGGACAAGTGAATAAATAGAGAGAGGATGAAGTGTTATATGCGGGAGAGCAAACACAGAGATGAATTGGGATGCGAGGGAGGCACCCAGGATAGATGAATTTATACAGAGAGGGATGAAAAGAGTTAGATAAGTGTGCGTGTGAACTTGGGAATTCTGAGGTTGAGAGGGACTTGTTTTTAATATAGTGACAATTAACAGCACAATATTAAAAATTTGTTTCCAAAGGTGGAAAATTGTACAAAAGCAGATCATAGAACTGGAACAGAAAACAAATTTACACCGAATATCGCAGCATAATTGGTGTAATTGAAGATTTGGCATTCAAACCGTGAGAGGTGATGAAAGGGGTTTGAAAAATAAGATAATTACTTCCTGTCATGTAACCTTCTGGTATCATATAGGGGTGACTTTTAAACTTCTAGAAAATTAATACTAAAATTCCCCCTGTCTTTTCCTTATTATACCCTACGCGGATGAAATTAGTGTTCTTTAAAACCATCAATTTTGCTGACAAGCCGTGATGAGAGTGAATCAATGACTTTTGCCTCTTTATCAAAAGTTCAAGTTATAACTGTAATATTATTGTAATTATTTCTTTTGATCCCTCAATTCCAACCGTTCAAATATATATATATATATATATATATATATATATTGTTGACAATTCAAAACTATTAATTTGACTCCACAATCCAAATTGCCCTTGAAAATCAAACCCTAAATTCTCTTTCTCTTCTTCTTCTTCTGTTTTCATCATTTAAGCCACCATGAACCATTGACACAATTAGGATGATTTGCCACCACTCATCCGTTTACCTTGATAATCCTTGTTTGACCCAACCATCAATAAGTGGCATAATAACCGATTGTTTTGAGGACTTTTAACACACTCACTCGTGCTTAATGGGATGACTATTCCTAACCATTTTAAGTTATTTAGTGATATATATATATATATATATATATATATATATTTTCAATAAGAATAACAGATTTTGAATTCTAATGGTATATAATGAGTAGTATGAAATAAGAAAAAATTGTTTTTATTATGTAATTTAAAATAAATAAATAAGTAGACCATAGGACATTCTTCGCCATGTGGATTGAGTACCTTAATTCACAATACATTTTTCTTTTAATAAGATGGAGAACCATGTAGTTTATGACTTTAGGACGTATTTGGTTAAAAAATCAACTTTATTAAAAAAGTTACTAGAAAAGTACTGTATGAAAAGTTAATAAATTTTACAATGAAATTTTACAATGAACTTTTACTAAGTTGCAAATTTTATGTGTTTAGTAAAAATTTAGTATAAGAAATGTTAATAAAAAAAATTATTAAGTGAGTTTTATATAAAAAAAAATTGAGAGGAAACTTTTTCTTTTTAAAAGTATAAAAAAAAGTTTATAAATTAAGAATTATGTTAAAAAAATAAATGTTTAAAATGTCATTTTTATTCTTATTTTGTCATGGTTCTAATATATGAAAATATATAAATAATCTTTTTTAAAATTTTTTTAAAAAATTTAGAGAGAAAGTGAATGGCAACCAAACACCCGGTTAAGGGTTTGGTGATCTATGTATAAATCTACAATTAAATCGTCAATTTTTAGACATTACATTACATAGGATTAATTCGTATAATTAAATTTTAAAACAAATTTGTGGCACCTATTGATTATGAGATAGGTCTAATACAGATCTACAAAATTAATTATTAAAATAATTTTATCCCAAAATTTTATCTTAATTTGGTCTCAAAAATCATTAAAAGAAGTAAAAATTGAAGGAAAAGAAGTCAATCACGTAAGATCAAAAAAGTATTCTTACCATTCACTGCATTCATCCACCTTCAGCCTAGTTTTTCCTGGCACTAATTATATAGGTCATAATCACATGCCGTAACAATTGGTCACGAGAACTACTAGAGCTATCAATAACAATAAATATCCAAAGAGAACATCATCATACCCTAAAATGTTACTCCTATAATAGCTCCAAAATCATTTTACCCTAAAATGTTACCCCTATAATAACTCCAAAATTATTTTACCTTAAAATGTTACTCCTATAAATAACTATAATAACACCTAGCTTTCGTGGTTTGATGTCTTTATATCTAATCAAAAAATATTTCCTTCAATCTTAGGGTTGAGATTTAAATCTTCACCTCCAAATTGTAATTTGTTCAAAAAAAATAAAAAAATAAAAAGAAGAAGAAAAGAAGATTGGTACTCTTATAATAACTCCAAAATTTTCGTTTTCTAGTTTATATTTAGATTTTAAATTTTAGGGTTAATATTTAAGATAATTATTTTTTTAAATATATTAAGGTAATATATATAAGAGTTATGTCTTTAAAATTACTTTAAAAAAAATTATTTTGAACTACACAAAAAAAATTAATAACACTCTGACTATAAATTTTTTAAAAAATGTTACTGCTATAATACATATTCCCAATTTCTCCTCATGAGAGCACCAGTAGCAACCCCGTGATACCTCTTTCTCTCAGATTATAAAATTAAAGATTCATATATTACATCAAATGCATATGTCGGCAACAAGAATTATAAAATAATAATAATTATTATTATTATCATTACCTTGGTTGCGAAGCTAATACCTGTATTTATAGTTCACGTTGGTTAAGATCTTGTGGTATTGTTTTGACCAAAAAGGAAATTAAATTGAAAAGAAAGACCAAGAAAGAGGGAGAAAATCAGAAAAGAGAATGAAAGGAGGAAGCATTCAAAAAATGCAGGAGGAAAAGTACGGAAGCCAAGAGAGCAAGAGGAATATGTGCATATATATATATATATAAATTTGTTCCCTGGAATCTTTGCGTACTTAACCGAAAGCAATGCTTAAAGCAGTCAAAACTTGAAAAGCATAGTTAGCTTAATTCCTTCCGGTACTAGTTGATGTAAATTCGTTTAGAAGGCAGGCCCACTCTAAACTAAAATCTAACAATAGTTTCTGAGAGATCACCAACTGTCAAGGCGCCAGTTTCTCCTGGGAATTGCATATCAAATGATAATGTTACAATTATAAAATATTATATAAAATTATAAATTTATAATTATAATATAATATTAAATAAATATAAAGTATCAATTAAATAATTATATATAATATTAAAAATAAATTTTTAAATAAAAATAATCAATTATATAATTAGATATTATATTATAAATTTAAAATATATCATATAACATTATTAACTATATAATTTTTGCATATCAAACAAGTTCTAAGTATTAAGTGAGAAATTCTCAGAATATATAACGAAAAAATTTATGGGTTAAATAGAATGAATGTTTCTTTATTTATTGTCAATTAATTTTAGGTTAGATGTAAGTCTTTTGTTGAACTCACATGTATAATTTTCGCATGGTATTAAGGCATGGATTTTATTCTGGGAAGTTCATTATTAACTCACTTGACAAAACCAACTTAATATTTATAACGGATTTACACGTGCCAATTAATTTTAAGTTGAATACAAATTTTACGCTGAATTTATGTGTACAATTTTCATACTAAGACTTCAAATGCAGGGCCCAAAACATACCTGTGAACGAAGGAATGAGCACCGACCGTTAAAGAGAAAACGTGACTATGTTGGCTTCAATTATTGGGGATGCACAAGAGAAGTTGCTTTCCCTTCAAATGAGCAAAACTGCCTGAGTGTATAATTTGTCTTGTTCGATCCTTCATATTTGTGAAAACATAGGTTACCAAAGTCTCTCAAACTCTCCAATCAATCGTCAATCTTTATCCTTTAAACACTTCAAATTAACCTTTTCACAATGAGAATTCATGACTCTTTACAATTTCTAGAAGTCACTCATTACTCTGTTTACATCAGAATCACTCATGACCATTGCGGCAAGGCAACGTAAAGATAATGACTTCAAAACCCACAATGGCATGTCTAATGGGCTCCATGAGAGAAAATGCAAGCAAATCACAAATCCTTTTCTTCCCTTCAAGCACGATTAACTCCATATATTCGTAAGAAACATAGTCACATTTTGACCACTCTATGGAAACACAAGCACCACGCAATGTATTACTACCTTTGTTTTCATTAGATCTAATCTTTTTTGTTTAATAAAATAAAAATATAATAATTTATTAATAAAATTTTATATTTATCTCTAATTAAGTATTATTTAAATCAGATTTGTTTATTTACTATATATTATAATTATCTTTTAAATAATAGTAAAATATAAATAAATATATTAAATGACATCTTAAAAAAAAATACATATAATTATAATATGTTCAAATTGAAAGTAATGGAGGAAAGAGGAAAGGAGGAAAAGGGAATTTTATCCCTTCATTCCCCTTCTCTCTCTTCAATCTTCCCCTTATTTGAGTAACTTAAAAAAATTTTAAAAAACAAAATAAAATAAATTCGTTCACTTCAATTCTTTTAATAATTAATTTTTTTTAAAATTTCCCACCCCTCTATTGTGCTCAACCCAAACATATTATAAATTTAAATGCCTAAAATAAAAATTAAGTCAATTAAAATTATTGAAGTTGAATAGATGAAGTATATCCTTAAAGTGCTCCTTTTATTTTTTGTCATCCTTTTTCTTTTTCTTTTTTCTCTTTTTTGATAAATTAAGACAATTATTATGTTAATAATTCAAGGGCTAGTCCCCATTAAATGAGCAACCAATTGCTCTATAGCATAATAAGCTTTTTGTAATTTCAGGAGCTAAATCAAATAAAGCCTCTTATAACGGAGAAAGATCTTGATGATGAAGCCAACCTAGAAATCCTATAATGCCAACGAATTTTAGTTAAGAGTTATGGTGGCAAGTGGCAACATTGATGGTTGATGCCTGAGTAGATTTTTTTATTCTCAAGCTCCAACACAGGTGCACTTCTATACATACAAAATATCAGGTTCAAGGCAAAACGATAACCACAACGTAAACATGACAAAAGGCAATCAATCATAATCCAATTATTAATTTAGACCTGAATCTTGACTGAGGAAATGGTTAAAGTTCAAAAAACCTTCTGCAAATGAAAAATGCTTGCAATGTGAACAGAAGCACCTAATTTTCATGCCTGAATCCACAGGCTGAAAAATATTGATTGAGCTAAAGTGAGGAAGACAATGACAGCGATTGAATATTGACATGTCAATTTCTCCTTCCCTTGTGCGTCTCATGGGCCATTGCTTTATACATAAATCTGCATGAACTGACTTCCTGAAGGAAACGTTTAGGTATGCCCCTAAATCCAGGGCTCCATTTTCGACCAAGGGTTGTGTGCCGCCCAATCTGCAACGCCCCATCGACCTGTAAGTGACACGTACATATCAAACGTTAGCTAGCAGTGAGGGTGAGTTACTAAACTACCGCCAATTCATTTTTCACTGCTACAGTTTGCTCTCCTAAAAATGTACTCCGGGCTCCGCTACTAGTATCATCACCACTTCATCTGTTAGATTCGTGAAATTAGCAGCAAATATTTTATGCAGCACTATGTACACAAATGTATAAAAAACAATTACGTCAGTGATATAATTATAATGCTAAACAAAATGTAAGTTTATAATTATAATATGTTATTAAATGAATTGATGTATATAACTTCATGATGAATCTCTAAATAAAAAAATTAATTATATAATAATAATCATAATTGTAAATTTAAAATAACTCTTGACACTTTGACTATATCATTTTCAAAAAAATATATATATATACATGTATGTGAAGGGGGAGAGATAATGTTTATTTGCTGGGCCGGTAATCAGAAGGACTTTGAAGAAAACATCTGAGTCTGGCCCGTCACTGTAAAGTTTCCGTTCAAGTCGGAAAGAGGCCTGGTCCAACCTCCGTAATTCAATCATATAGTTCTGAAAGGCCAAGCCCATAAAACGACCTCCAGCCTTTTCATTACGCCCGGTTCTCTTTCAACCAAATTAGCCTTTTTCATTAAGCCCGTTTCAGATATGGACAAAAAATAAGGACTGAGAAGTCCAATTGCAATTTGCATAATTGACCAAAATAATTTCTTATCCCCAATAAAGCTCACATCTTTTTCTTTTTCTTTTTCTTTTTTTAATTTTAATAACATAAATATCTGAGCTTTTTAATTCGATATCAATTTCAAATGGTTAACTCTTATTTTTTCCTAAGGCCTTTAGACAATTTCTTTTACCAAATAGAACTTTCTCATTAATTCGCGCCCAATAAGTTAATATCATCATTTTAAGGTCGCAAAAAGCTTACCTATGATTAGCTACTAGTAAAGCATGTTACTTAATTAAGGTATTCATCTTTCAGAAAGTAATTAGGTCCAAATAATTGAACTGACAAAATTGGATTTTCGGATTCAAATAATTCGTTCTCAAATCTTAAAGTGCTTGGGTTAGTTGATCAAAATTTTGAATCCAATCAATGCTTTAAAAAAAAGCCACCCCTCTCTCAAATAGTAAACCATTCAAAAAAAATAATAATAATTGTACAAATCGAAGTCAAGTTTTTTGAGATAATAACCACAAAGTAGTGCCTGCTTCCTTTATTCTTAAAGTAATATATAGGGAAAGAATAGCTTCTAAAGCACATAGGAATAGGATCGTAGCCAAGTCATGGTGAAAACACATAGTATTGGATTCTAGCCTAAATTCTCTGACTCCAATTGCAAGTCATTCTTTCCCTTTCATCCGTTTTGTGTTCCATACTTTGTGAAAATGGTCTCCATTGGGTCCTCTTCTGCCTAACCACTCGAGAAAGTTTTTATTTTTTTACACATCTAATAATAAATTATATAATATTAAAAAATAATTCTTTATCTATTTAAAAATTTAAACTCAAAACTTATAATATTAAATCTCATAATCTTACCAATTATGAGTTAGGACACCCAATTAAGATATTTTTTTGGTTGGGATGGGGTTTAGTGGTTTACAATAAAAAATACTAGCCTATACAAGCCTCAAGGAATATGCCCACGACAATTATCTCCTTGGTGCCATGTGTGTTGCAATAGCCCGTTCATTAAAGAATGTCGCTTTTAGCCAATTACCATGATATGCACATCACATAATCAGTGAAAATTAAGTAAACTAATCACATACAATATTTGCGGTTGAGAATTGTATTTTATTCAACAGCTGATCAAAAAAAAAAATTGTATTTTATTCTACAATAATGGTAAGAGTTTAAGCAATAACATCAGCACATATTAAACCAGGAAAAAATAGCTGTGACATCACATGTAAATGTATTTTTCACCTAATTTTATTTTCTTAATACTTTATAATAACTGGTTCCGAGCAATTTGGTAGTTATTTACCCTCTTTTTGGTTTGATTTGAAGAAAATGACTTCCTGAAAGGCTGTAGTTAAATTACGGTATGTGATAATTTAAAGCAAAATATGTAGTTATAACTCATGTTGGTTGGGTGTGAGAAAATTTATTTTGTATAATTCATACTCAAAAGAAAAAAAAAATCTTAAAAAATAAGCTCAAATTAATATTATCATACCCGCAAGGGCAGGTTGGATAACTTGGACGGGATGTCTATTAGGAGTATATAATAAAAGCGTAAAATTAAGGTTTCATTCCATGGTCCATGAGCATTTTATCTCGTTAATATACTCTATTGTGATATGCTTTTAGTGTAACCATAATCAAGGTTTCACCCTAATTACGAAACCAAAATCTCGTTGACATTTAATGTATGATTCTAAATTTGGAAAAACTAGTACACAATGTTTATTACCAGATGCCGTGCACGACAAGAGTAAAATTGATAGAAAATGATTTGTACAATTTTTAGTTTAATATAATATAAATATAATTGAATCTAATAAAAATATAATAATTAAATATACTATAAATATAGTTGATTCAATTAGTTCTTACATTTTATATATATGGTTATGCATATTTAAATTTGTTTATTTTTAATTTTATATCAAAAAATAATAATTTTTAAACAAATGTATTGTGTAATACATTGAATTGAAAAGTATAACAATCAATTTCCTAAACCCAACATTAATTACCATCTTGTGGAAAGAACTTCTTTGGCCAAAATTTAAATCAATAACTTCTTTCACTACTCAACTTTACACAATATTATATATATAAGGCCACATAATGTTGTGTGATATAGAATTGATTCTTTTTATTTTGAAGTCCATGCATTTATATTGTATACATTCACTCATTAATATAATTAATTTTTTAAAAAAAAAATTATGCATTCATATTATATACATTCACTCATTTAATATGTCACACAATATGACATCACCTTATACATATAATATCATCTACAGTTGAATTATGAATGAAGTTATTAATTTAAATTTTGGCCAAAGAAGTTATTTCCGCAAGACATAATTAATGTAATTTTTAATGACAACAAAAATCCCTAAACATATAGAAATGGCAAGAAATATTCCAAATATGTTAAGAGATTTTTGTTGCTACTAAACCTTAATATAAATAAATGCTAGAGGGTCTCCTCCATTGAATTAATATCTCATTGGCTAGATACTTTCACATTTAGTTTTCCTATTAAAAGGGAAAGTCATATATTAGGCCAAGAGATTCGACAAAATTACATATATAGAGATGTTGTTGTCCTTTTCCCGTGTTTTTCATCAAAGTATCTAAACCAAAGTGGGATTCGTATATAGCAATTGGGCATTCTTAATATCAAAATTAAGGATCTCTCAAGATTGCAGATGATGATTTTGTTGTAAAAATATTGTACAATATAGCAGAGATCATATCTTTACTTGGCCTTTTGTGCAAGGTAGCTGCAAGATAATTCCGTCTCCATTTCCTTCAATGGGTGCTACTACCGTTCCCAGGGATTTCACCAACTTGCGAAATGGGATTGGTTCCGCAAATAAGACGAAGGTCCAGATTTCTTCCACCCCCAGTTGTGCTCCGGCATGCGGAAAGCTCGACGGAATTGCCGCATGGGTCTTAAATGGTGTCGCTGCCGCCTTCTTCATGTCACTAGATCGCTGTGCTTGTATTCACATCGGCACCATGGATGATCCTGATGATGTCGAAAATGATCACCAGCAACTGATTTGCAAACACGGCTATCTTGAACTTAATTCAAGGAGAAGACAATATAGGAAACATAAGGGCAAGATCTGGGATGTATTAACTTCATGATTTAATTCTGTTACCATTAATTGCACATTAATTTGTATCATACACTTTCATGGTTAATCATATCTCTTGAGATTGAGAACCACTTTAACCTATAATATTTAATGTAATGGCTACGATGTATCTTGGAATGAATCAATGAATTTATAATATTTGTGCTCTAAATGTTTTATTTTTGGTGGGGGATTAGATTATGTGATGAGTGATAGCTGTGAGGAAGTTTTTTTGTTCACTATGCTTGGATTTTTTTTTAATTTACTGTTAAAATATTTCTGAATTATTTTTCTCATACTTTTAGATTGTTTTGTTTTCTCTCCAACTAGTCTTAAATATACATCTTTTGCATTGATCTAGTACATTTAAAGAAATTATTTTTCTTGGGTGTTAGGTCCAAAACTTAAATCTTGGACTTTTAGATCTCATATTGAAAAAATATTATAAAAACACATAAGTTAAATAAAAAAATACTATCCAATATTTTATCAATTAATTTTAAATTAAAAATAAATTTTGTGTTGAAACTCAAATATCAGTTTTTACAATAAAAACAAAGGCTGGTATTTTATTTGGCTTGTAATGATTTGAGCATTTTGGTTAAGTAGGAATGGTAGTTTTTTCTAGAAGCACAAAACTCCATCAGTATAGGCTAGCTGCTGGAGACGGTTCATTTAAAGCCATCAATAGGGGAGGGTGAGATTTTGTTCTTTTTCCTTCACAGGTTGCAGGCTAAACCTGAGGGAGTGTACAAGGACCCTAAAGGCCAGGCCTGCAATTAGAAACAGGGGAGAGATACATCAGAAATAGTGTACAACGAGGCTTGAAGTTAAGTGATGGAAGACTTAGAGGCTAAACTACTCCACAACTACGTTGAGGTTGTGGTCTACTCTAGAAGATATGACGCATTTCCTCTAGATTTTTTCTAAAGTTCTATAATTGCTTGTACTTTACATAAAAAATACATATAAGTGTAAGAAAAGGCATAAGAAATTAAGCATTTGCGAGTTGAATTAAACCATGAGTCTCAATCAAAACATTTTAATTAAATTTTTTTATAGTCATTTTTTGGATGTTCCAGAAGACTAAAATTAAAGAAGGTTCATCAATTATTTTGATAACAAATATTTAGCAACATCATTGATGTTGTTTAGACCAAGGCTCAACCTAATCCAAGTTGTATCCAATAACAATAATAAAATCCTTATTTCATATGAATATCAGAAATACAAAATCTTGCAATGCCAAGCATGCAGTTAACTTTTGTACCAACTACCAAGAAGAAAAACCATGTTGTATAGATAGTCCCCATCAAGGGTAGTGCAGAACAGCTAAGTTGCTTAATCTAATAACTAGTCCTTGTCTGAGAAAAAGATGAGCTTTAAAATATGCTTGTATTTAAGTCATCAACTACATAATATTGGCAATTTCGCCAACTGCGAGCAAAGACTTTTCTAGGAGAACGTCATTTTATGAACTCAAATATCTTTTTTTTTTTTTTTGATACATGCATACATATATAGCTGATATTAATTTGTAATTTAATTTATAATTGCTTACATACAAGATTTTCCCATTATTAAAAGAAGTGGTAATAACATATACTAATATACTAATTCTTTTGTCCAAATCTAATTCCTTTGAAAGTTAGAAATTAATCCCAAAGTGGTAACAATATTGGAGCGATGACATCCGAGTATATAGCTTTAGCCAGTTGTATTCAAGCTAGCGACAGTACTTGTGCACTGCAAATAGAGAACAACGTTGGACCTTGTAAGAATTAGAGCAAACAGGGAACTGATTTGTATGAAATTTATTCAGTGAAATCCCAAGCTTGTTTTCGACGATTGAGACTGTTCCTTAAAACACTACCGGCCCGTGCCCTCAAATTAATTAATATTTTTATAGCACATATTAAGAGTACATTAATCATATATTTTTTATTTAATTATTTAAAAAAAATAAAAATTCTCTTTAATTGTATTAGTTGTCTAATTAAAATTGTACACATGTTATTTGTATTGAAAACGAAATTAACTTTTGTATTTTTTATACAAATTAATAGAAAAAAATATGCAATTAATGCATACATGGCTTTTTTTATCTGCCTAAAGTAGACAAACTCAATTAGTTATACAGCCAAAAAACTATCAAAAAAATTACAAAACTCTCAAAAAAATTTGACAATGATATAGTTATAATATCATATAAAATTATATATAATTAAGTCTACAATTATAATATCTCATTAAATTAGTAGTTGCATATAGTATAACAAATGGATCTTGAGTGAAAAATATCAATTATATATATAATGATATATTATGATTGTAATTTTATAATTGGTTTATTTCACTTATATTTGAGCATAAATTAAAAAAACCCTTTTATAATATCATAAAACATTATAATTATATTATTTTAAAAAAAATTAGACCAATTGCTCTTTTAAGTTATGTATCTGTCTTTTGGCTTTCCCAGGAACGGAATTTGATGAAAATTTTAGAGTGGACCAATTAAACAAAAAAAATTCTTAGAGAAGCAAATGAATAAAATACCCCAAATAAATATAAGGATTTTAAACATAATAGGGGTACCATGCCCCACTCTCCTACTCCTACATCATCGTCCGTGGCTCCCTCCATGGACCTTCATG